CGATCTTGCCCATTCATTTTTCCCATCTATTGAGAATGTAAACGGTTCTATAAGATATACTTTAGATGACAGTTTAACATTTCAGCGGTTAAATTTTTAATTTGGTAGAGCATTGTAAACTGTGTTTCGGAATTCTGGCTTTTATTTTATTGTCAAAATATGCCCGTCATTTATTTATATCAAATGGCAGGCGTTTTGATAGTTATCATTAGCCCTTTAGTTGACTTCGGGCTTCACAGAGGGGAGGAACATTAAAGTGAGAAAAAGTAGAAAGGAGGAACAGAAGAATGTTTCACAGATGTAAGAGAGAGACAGTCACAAAGGCATAGAAAAAGGGGAGGTAAGTACTGTGGAAGTGGTCGAATGTGGCATACAGTGGGGTTATGGTAGTTTGGAGTCAGAAGTCAACTGCCGGTTAGTAGACTTTTGCCGTATGATTATACGTTGTCCAGGGTGCACCACGTGGAGGTAAGTCTATTGCACACCCCATGATACCTATCATAACGCCTGCCATTTGAAAGTACGTTGTCCAGGGTGCACCACGTGGAGGTAAGTCTATCGTATTCTTAAGAATAATTGTTTAGAAAACCAGCAAGGGTTGAGCATCTCCCTAAGCCCGTCATCAAACAGCTTATTGGATTCCTTCATTTTGAGCTAAAGTCTCAAAAACTTGGCACTATTGGCGACTACTTGATCACAAAGTTGATTCATTTTCCTCTTTTCCACAATAAAACACCATTTGCTTTCTGTATTAGCTGCATCCATGAAGTTAGTTAAAATTCCTTTTCAACTTGTATACGTATTATCTAAGCTAGAATCCCTTTGATTCATAGTCCTAAAGGGTTTGATAATGATCAACAAGCATAAAACGTAATTCGTCACACACGCACACACACCCACTAAAGCTTAGGTCTCCGTAAACGAACAAAAACGGAAAAGAGTAGAGGAAACTGCAGTAAGCTTTATTTTAATTAGAACGTTCGTTTTCAGTTCACCTAGAATTTTATTTAGAGGAAAAGTACTGCAAGCTGAAACTTGTTCGATACAAAATGGACGCTAAACAACAACAAGGAAAAGAGGAAGAAGGAAATTTAGAAGAGGTGGATGATTATTTAGAAGCGGATTGAATCTATTGTTTATTGTTTAGGAAGAGTACCTGGCCAGGAAGTCTTTGTGGAAATCTCCCAAATCGGCCATCACTTTACGCATTACTGGAACCGATGGAAGAATTGTGGTTCTGAAAGCAAGATTGACAATGAAATTTATGAAGACATGAAAATTCCTCAATCGGATTTAGCACAAATAGAAGTACACTTCCACAATGTTCCCTTAGAAAAATAGATACTAATGACCATCGTTAGAATATTATAAAAGCGAACAAAAATGGAAGGCTCAAGTGCCACTGAAAGGTTAAAGATAATCGTCTTGTTGTCATGTTGACTCCAGGACATTAAATGAAAACCCATATTCATCTTTTCATTTTAATTGACGACACAAAAAATTGGAAATCAAGAAGTAGACATTTGTTGAGGGAGAGAAGAGTAAAATTTGCGAGGAATGTTCCACAACAAATATTCGGGATACTAATAAGAAAACGCCCACTTTAAAAGCAACATTAAAAAATAATTTGTTTTAAAATGTGCGTGACACAATGTAATAGAATTTCCGCCCTCATTTGCAACTCTTTCGCATTAAAACTGCAGTTTTCTTTGGATTCCCATATGAAAAGAAGTGAGTGTGCTTTGAAATTAAAATACTCAATCAAGTAATGAGAAAGTTGGCAAACGCGAGATGATGAAAGGGAGAAAATCAACTAATTATAAGTGGACTACCTCAAAAATTGCATAACTGCAATTAAAGTGCAAACGATCGCAAAGCAAATAAAAACATGTGACAGGTCAAAGGTTCTGAAATCAGATACATTTTGTGCTGGAAATAAACCTGTTTTTTTACCAAAAGCACTTTCATTTCTTTCCGCTTTCAGTAAAATAACCTAAGGAAAGAAATGTGAGTTCATAAAAAAGTATTTATACAACTAAGCATATTTGAAACATCGGATGTAACACTATTTATTTCATCCAAATATTCGCATTGTGACTGACTTACATTCAATGGTATAAATTAAACTAAATCCGAGCGGTATTTTAATCCTGGTCCATATAATTTCTGGGAATAAGATGCGTATCTCTATTTAAATGCTAGAACGTTACGCGACCACTAATCTAGCAATTCAAAACCAAAAAAAGTTTTTTTTTCAATGAGAATATCTAACTTTCAGAAATGGTGGATCCGACTAATATAAAAGTGGACAAGAAATTGTACTCTCGTAAACAAACCCTATCAATATAGCAGCTTACGTAACTTCATTTAAGAGAGCCAAATTTATTGTTAGAAATAATAAATTTATGCCCTACTGCATCAGCAAACGCGTTTACAGTTCTACTGGATAGTGCTTCGTCCAATTAGAGGCCAGTAGGAGGAAATGGAGTGAAGTTCCGCAAGGAGTTTTAATCACGTGACGGGAGCCACACGTGCGAAGTAGCCCTCCCGCCAACTGAGGTTTTGGGATACCTTTTCTGGAGAATTATTTCAGACATAGAAATCTTTAGTAACTCATCCAGAAATCTTAATTTACCAGGACCAGGTCGCATGCGTATTGAACATGTCTTGGAGATGAAACAAGAAATAAGGAGATGCAGGACAGTCGGCAAAAAGCCAGTGTTGGGAAGTACTCAGTTTGAGGAAAAGAAATAGAATCGAGAGTGATGAACTCGCATTATACACCCCTCTCGGGAATATTAGTAACAAGTGCGTTAACTGGATAAGCATCTATAAATATTAAAGCCACTGCATAAATATGCTGGCATGGAATACGCAGTATCGGCTTACTAGGTGATAAAAGGGAACTTTCATTCGGTCTTTGTTTAAATTTCCCAATGTGGCATTGACCATCTCAGGTTTGCTTTTACCGGCTACACCTTACCACCAAGGGGGGGGGGGATAAAAATGCTTTATACACTTAAAGGACACCGAAAAGAACACTAAATCGCAGGTGAGACCTACCGGAAGTGGTAAGTACCAGGTTGTTGACCGAAGCCAGATCCAGGAACGAAGCAGATACCCTTCTCTTCAAGAAGATTCAGACAATAGAAGAAGTCCGGTTCCATGCCTTTTTCCTAAAGGTGATCAAAAGAAAGCTTATTTTTAAACAAGTTAATCTTTAAAATGGTGCATTAGTAAAACCAATAACCACGATTTGAAAAGCAAAAGTGAAGAATTTTTAAAGTTATTTTCTTTCTCCTTTCAAAAAATCCTTTACCTGAAGTGAAATTATTTTTCATTTGAGAAAATTCGGAAGCCTTCTTCACTCTCTTTCCATTGTGATTGGTTTACAGAATTTTAGGTAGACAGATTGGTGTAATGTTCTTAAACGCATAAAAGAACCAATAGGATTAAAGCACGTGGGCGAGAGAAATGGTGGACAGTTGTCTTTGGCAACTTCTGCACCTCAACCAAAAGACCAACAGATTTCTTAAATTCCGCACTCTCGGCTTTGAGGGAAACTTATGGCAAAAACTTATTAACATTGTCTCTTTTCATTGCAAGACATAAAACGAGGTCTTATGGTCACTATGAGAGAAGTCAAAGTCAGCTAATCCAGACAAGGAAACGGAAAGATAATTGAGATGATAAATGAGATCCTTGTCTTCTAAGAAAAAATTTCAACTTGTCAATTTGATTTTAACAACTATCGCTAATCACAATAATTATGCCTATATTGCCCCAGTTAACTTTTGGCCTAATAGTAAATACACAACAAACTGGCGCGTATGTAAGATAGGCCCTTGCGTCCAAGAGTCAGAGGTTTATAAGCCGATAACTTTCCAGATTTAATCACGACACACTAGGGGATAAGAAAGTGCCCAATAAAATAATAGAGCAACATCAGTATAAGAGTCTCCACAAGACAAACCTTGGCAGCAGCAATAGCCTTAGGAGGGAGACGAATTTGAGGGAAGGCATACATGGCACCCTGCACTTCATTGCAAGTCACTCCCTCGAGAGCATTGAGGGTGTCGGTTGTGAGTCTGGCCTTCACTTTCAAGTCAGCCAAGACGGAATCCCTCTCCTTCACGAAGGTCTCATATGAAGGCTCACCTTCTCTTGGCGGATCACAGATTACACCAATCATGACCTTAATGAGAAGTTATTTGCTTATTAAAATAGTAAACAAAATGGTCTATGTTAAGGGCATGCATATTGCAACACAATTAAAAAAACATACAAAAAGCGAAAAGTAACGACACTTTAGTAGTGTTCTGTCAATTACAATTGTTTAGATAGACATAGAGGACAACCTTTACTACTGAGAGAAGTCCATCATCGAAAGAAAATAAACCACACAGAATTAAATTTCATGAATAGAGTAATAAAAGTTGAAAGGAATAGCAACCGACCAGTATTTCAACGAATTTTGGGGTGTGCGATAGACTTACTTCCACGTGGTGCACCCTGGGCAACGCATACTCATAAGGCAAAAAGTCTATTGATCGGCAGTTGACTGACTTTAAACTTCTATGGCCCGAGTATTTGTCATATTCGACCCCTTCCACAGTACTCATCTTTCCTTTTTATACCTTTGTGTCTCTCTTTTACGTCTTTAAGACACTCTTCTGTCCCTCCCCTCTCGACTTTTTTTCGCTTTGATGTTCCTCTCCCTATGTGAAGCCAGAAGTGAGCTAAATGGTTAATGATAACTATCATAAAGCCTGCCATTTGATATAAGTAAATCCCAACGAATTTATGCACTTATTTTGAGGATTATTGAGGAATCAATATTTGCACCGGGGGTCATTAAAGATAACACAGGAGTACAAATCAAATAACATTGGGACTGGCATGGCCGAAATCACACTCAGAAACCTTGAGAATAAATGCTGAAATTCAACTTGTAGAATATTAGGAATTGATACAGGGCTATATTTCCTTAAACTTAAAGTCCAGGGAATTCAAGTGGCGTTTTATGGCGACTTGAGTTTATTTCAAATCTCTATTGGAGCATTTCCATTCCTTACAGTTTCTTCTACTTTGATGTCTTTCTATCAATTCGAAAGAGAATAAACCAAATGACTAGTAGAACATTTGACAAGAGAGATGAAACACTGTAGACGCTCGAAACTCGATGATTGACCTCCAGTAATTGGAATGAACACCATCACCGAAAAGTGTTTGAATATTCTTTTTATTTTTTGACCAGATGTTCTATCCAAGAAGAATACTATAGACTCATTTTCACGAGTTGGAGCCAAAAATGTTGGAAGCTTGCAAACTATATGTCTTCTTAAATATTAATAGAAATAACCTTTGCGGAAGGAAATGTGAGGAATAAACGTTTTCTTATTTCCCCGTGTCTAAGAAAGGATATTAGAGGAAATAGTCAATATGATTCCCCTTAAAAAGGAAAACTTGGTTGATTTGGACATAGTCTGGCAATCATACGATTTATTTCAATATCTTTATAAAGCTAGGTTTAATTCGATTAGTACTTATTTCTTGTACTCCTAACCAAAAGTGCGATCATTCGACCAAGATACCTTAAGCTATGACATATTGCTCATACTCTTCCCTCTTATTACATAAAATTCAGCTTATTTGTTTTCCAGTTAACTCATTGATTTATTGATTTTAAGGTCGAGCAGAAAAATTAAGTCAAGTTTCGTTAATTGAAAGTGCATCAATTTTGTTTATTATTTGCTAGTCAAAATACATGCACAAGTTTTAGGCACGTTCATAAACTCTAACGTTGACCCAATATGCCTAAAGCTATGTCCAGTCGAAATACAGTTCATTAATCTATTTCATGCATTGCAATCTTTTCACGAAATTGGCCTAAATGAATTATCACGTAACGATGATTAAAAGTGAAGGAGTATGAGTATTTTCTCAAACTTTATATGCTTTAAACATTTACCTAGCCCGATCGAACTAAAATATGAGTTTGTGCTCGCATTACTTGTATTTGTGTACGAGGCTCAACTACCAATTTAAAATTTATTGAAATTAAAATTAGAACACTCGTTGGGTCTATGTGATTCGGTAGGGAGACTTAGTTTCGACAGCCACCACATGATTAAAATTTAGAAGCCTTAGTGGATTATATTTATGTCATTTAAAAGATATTTCGAATATATCTAATCTAGCTGAGAGGTGGTCAAAAGCGACTCTTCATTGGAGAAACACCCAAGTATATCAGTTGAGGAAATAAACGTTATCTTAAATAGTACAAACTAGTAGTGTGTAAATAATGCGTGAAGAGCAAAACGGGTTATAAGTATGAAATAACAAAAGGCAACTGAAAAATGTGAAGATTGGAATCAGTAAAAAGATTCCACAATGAGATAAATGCCAGATAAACCGGAATGAAATTCAGTTGACCCACCTGACCTAGAACAGCAGGGCAGAGACGAGCAGAGAGGTACTTGAAGAGTTGTGCTTGTACATCAGGGTCAAAGTTAATGAGTTCACAATAGCCTCCACGGAATCCACACTCCCCCATGTATCCTTTGCTAGCGGACATGAATGAGGCTAGTTCCACGCTGTCAGCATACTCGGGACCCATTTCGTGGAGTACCTTCTTGAAGGACATCCAAGGAGTAGCGTCGGGGTTGTAAACGTTGAATTGATAAACTTCATCAGCGAGAAGAATAAGACCATGGCGTTTAACGAAGCGAATGATACCCTGGAAAAATAAAAAATAGACAATAAATAAATCCTTGCACTTGGACTAATCTAAAGCAGAAAAATACATTTAATGTAACCGAAGAAAAAAAAGAAACCGTGTCAAAGTAGTGGGAAAACCAATTGAGATGAGAGCATTGAAAAAATGACATTTAAATGGTGGTTGTAATTATATTTCAATTTGCATATATTCCTATTAAAAATCGATAAAGAGCATATACTAAAGTAAGCTATTAGTAAAATACCATAGACCAAAATAGCCCTTGGATAAACAGAAAAAACGACAATTTCATTCATTAGACCTTCTAGGTCTTCCAGATTATGCAAAATGGAGAAAGGGGACTGTCTTCTCTAAACAGAACAACAAAGTAAGCAACGGATGATTTCTTCCACTTTTCTTATTTATGAATTTGCCATTACTAAGATTTAATTAAAGTTAACAATTGAACTTAAGATACAAAATAGAATTCTTCAAATACCCTTGAAAGTATAGTCAACAAGGCATTCGTTCATTTGCCATATAAAGGAATAAATGTTAATGACATTGCCTTTTAATGTGTCGCAAATCATATTTAGAATGGTGAGATCAAGCATGTAACACAAAGGTTGATGAATTTAATTTTCATAAAAGAATGTTTGTTAAGATAATAAAATGGGTTCGACTCCCATAAGGGACACACATAATGAGCGAGATCGCCAACCGCATCAGAGAGGCTCCATAATGCCATTATCTTCACAAGATGAACTTGGAAAATTATTATCACGAGTCAGTTCTTAGCTGACCGTGAACAGATTATTAGCAACTAATATAAAATTAAAGGCCATAAACTCAAAGACCATTTCTTTTTTAAATTCTTTCTGTTTTGGGTTGGTTTAATTTAACGAGTGTAAAATAAACCTTTGGTATATATCCCTCCTCCACTTTAGAAATTTTAATCTACTTCTACATAACCAATTATCTAACCAACTTTGAAACAAAAACTTTTCAACAAAATTAATGATATGCGATTATATATATACAGTGAAGAACCAATAACGATAACATTATTTTCAAAATCGAGCAATACAAACCATTTGTTGTATCTACCAATTCTCCCCAAGGATTTTTAAATAAACTGCTTAGCTAACGTAACTTGTCTGATCTCCTTCGAAACACAATTTTTTCCTCTATAGGAAATTAGCTGTTTAAGAGGAAACTAAAAGAAACACATTGTTATGCCATTGACGATAAGTAATTATTTGGTGTTAACTGCCAGTCCTAAATTTCGTCGATTAGAAAAGTTAATGTCTTTAAAATACTCATTTGCCCTTCAAATCTTCAAACTTTAAAAAATTCTTATTGTATGCCTATTCCCCAAAATAGCATTCACATTCCTAAAAATGATGTTTAACTATGAACATCACATGTCTTAATGAATCTTGTTTAAGCCTATTAGTCTTAAGAATAACGCATCAAGCTGCTAGGAGTTAAACAAACCTCCATGCACTGTCTTGAGAGAACTTGTCCGGTGGGATTTCCAGGGTTGAGGACAGCAAATGCACGAGGTTTGCAGTTGGCCTTCTCACGAGCCAACGTATCCTCCAGCACGGCCTCATCAAGATTCCAGTTGTTGGATTCATCTAGATAGTAATCAATCCGGTAGGCATTGTACTCAGAAATGGTGGCGGAGTAGAGCGGATACTGTGGACAGGGCACCATGACACCAACAGGATCTGGTCCAGATTGGGAAGTACAGAGAAGCAGCAAAGCCTAAAAAGAATATGTCAAGGATGAAATGTCTATCTATGCTATTGGAGTGGCTAACGATACCAGTAAATACTATAAAGCTTGTGCTTTTTATCGTTCCTCTATGTAAAATGCAATTGGGAGATATGATGTTATGCCCAAGATATAATTAAAGAAAGCATTTAAATGTGCAAGACTAAAAATTGAGGCATAAACAAATCGTTGAACGAGGGAATGAATATAACACTTAACCGAAAAAATAGCCGAAAGAATTGACAATGTAAGGCCATTATTTGAGGCCTAAATCGCATGATGCACAATAGTATTCAGTGCCCACCGCAAGAAATAGGTCACGAAAGGACAATGACGAAATCATACCAACTGGATTTTCCAAATGAAGCGAAAAATACCAAAATGGCTAAAACAGAAAACAGTTACTCTGAAACTCCTTTAAATTCAAACTTTACTAATGCTAAGGTTTTCATTCTTTAATTGTAAGCCGTAGTTGCGCCATTGCATATTGCACTTCGCCATCAATAATAATAAAAAACCCATATCAAAATGAACTGTAAAAAAATATTTTCTTCAAATTATTCCTAATTATTGCACAACTACCTTACGTCCCAGCTCAGATTAACAAAACTTAGAGCAAATATACTATAATCAAATTTATAAATAAACGACATACTCTAAATGAAAATAAATTTAGAACATTACTTTTTGATACGATAAAATTTAAAGTTTAGTCAAGAATAAATTACATTTCAATTTCATACGCTAAACATATCATCAGATATATGATAATGAAGAAAATACATAATTAAAAACAGAAGTTTAATATTTTAATAAAACTTGATAAATCTAAAACACTATTGGAGATAATTGAAATAAAAAATAGAATAGAAAATTTAGTACAGTTAGCAAACTGGCTGAAAAAACCATAAAATACAATTGAATTGCTATAATTAATTTCAAATATAAAAGAAATATAAAAATAAACAACCTTAATAGCTTCGCTGGCTCCGTTTGAAACGAAAATGTTATTGGGATTAGCATCGAGACCATCTCGACGCTTAATATAGGCAGCAATGCGTTCGCGGATGATCGGCACACCAATTGAGTTACTGTAAGAACCTAAAATAAAACAAAAAATAAGGAACCAAGATAATGAAAGTGTAAAGATATAAAGAAAATAAGAGAAACGTACCAACACTTGCCCCCGCACATCCAGCTAGAATATCACGAGCTCTATCCTTGGCGTCCTCCGGAAAATTTGGATCGTCAAGTAGAGCAGGATAGCTGCAAAGAGCAATAACTTGACGGAAAAAAGTGATCGGTTTTTGTCCAGTGGCATGACAATCACCAATATTGCATTTTACGACATGATCGAAGTTTTTCTTTTGGCCTTCTTTCAGCTCTTTTTCCAGTTCTTGAGAACGGATAACAATCGGACCACGGACAGCATATTGCATTTGAACAACATTGGGGTTAATTGTTGCTAAGGTTAAAACGTGATGGGAATTCTCCATGATAAGCTTAGCCGATGCGAGTTTATGTACGAAACCAACAATTGGCCTTTTCAGTTATCGGAAAATTTACAGCCAGGGCATTCAATTTGATTGATAAAACAAAATATGACCTGATCTTTTAATACTAATTATTTTCAATTAGGCTTTAGAATTTAGAAAATAATTAATTTAGTAAGATGAAAATGAGACTTAATAATGTTTGGAAGCAAAATGAATTAATTACTTCGAGCCCCTATTGTAATATCATATTAATTAGAAAATCTGCAGTAAATGGTTCGTTTTTAATTAAGAGGTATTTTCATAACGTTCATCTCATTTTGCTTAAATTTCTTTCAATATTAACTTAGTTTGACTTTTAATGGAAATATGTAAGTTAAGATTTACATTTAACACAAGGAAAGTCATATGAGGTTCTCATTATTTGTCTGTTTAAATATTCTGTCTTTCTATATTCTACATTGGGCTTACACAACTATTCAATGTGATTCGGCGGGATCAACCCATCCGTATTAGCCTTATCTGCTAAGAAGTTGTCTAATGTAAATTAATCTCCTGGAGTTCAAGGTAACGGGAAATTAAGATTAACTCGACCATTATTTTTCCTATAAACCTCTACCACTTCTTCGATTTTAAGGAACATTCCGACGAAAATGCCACAGTTCTATTAATTAAAAACTGCGTACTGTTTTATCAATGTTAACATCTCCTTAGAAGTATTGGATTGTGGAAACTACTCTTGTGGTTATCTTTTATTAATATTCAATACTAAATGTCCGAGATAATGTCACGAGTGTATAAATCGTTAGGCATATATTTATGTTTTATCATGAATACTGAAGCATTTTGGCCAAATTTTGCTTTGTCCAGTTGAACCCTAACAAACAGATTGATATCGACGAAATTTCTTGAATAATTTCAGATAGCAACTGTATGTTCAACATCTTTAATGTCTTTGAATTTCATCAGAGCCACCAATCAGTAATTTCAAAACTCAAATTTGGATATATTTGATTTAATATCCTGTTAGATATTATTTATTTATTTATATCAAATGGTAGGAGTTTTGATAGTTATCATTAGGCCTGGAGCTGACTTCGGGGCTTCACAGAGAGGAGTAGGAACATCAAAGTGACAAAAAGTCGAGAGGGGGAACAGAAGAGTGATTCACAAATGTAAAAGAGACAGACAGACAAAACGAAGGTATAAAAAGGTAAGATGAGTACTGTGAAAGGGGTCGAATATGACAAATAGTCGGAAGCCAGAAGTCAACTGCCGATCAAAGACTTTTTTGCCGTATAAGTATACGTTGCCCAGGGTGCACCACGTGGAGG